TCTAGTGATGGGAGAACATGGTGACTTGGATGAGGTTATTCATCTGTCTTTTACAGATGATGCACTACTGTTTGTGAGCCTGAGCCGCAATGCTTACTGAATATTAGGTGTACGCTTATCTGGTTCCAAGTTGTTTATGAGCTTAGAATAAACATGTCAAAATCTGAGTTGGTTCAGATAGGAGACGAGAGATTCAAAGAGCTTGGGTGGGTATTTTGGTTGTAAAGTGGCTGACCTCCCTATGAGGTACTTGGGTTTATCCTTGGGTGCTAAATTCCAAAGATGTCTTCATTTGGAACTCTATTACCAGCAAATTCAGAGCAAGACTAGCAGGACGGAAACTAAACTTCCATCGATCTTGAGTATTCCAGTGAGTATGGCAAAAAGTTAGAAGCTATTCAATGCATATTCCTACTGGGTGATCCAAGTGAAAAGATGAGCTTTCATCTAGTTAATCCAAAAAAAGCCAAAGAACCACATCGTAGGGCGATCTTGGTATAAAGTCAACGATTGAGCTGAATAAACCCTTCCAAGGAAAGTAGTGATGAAAATTCATGAAGGAGAGAGAGACTATGGCAAAGGTTGATCAAAGCTAAGTCAGTGATAGTTTAGGATGGTATCCAAGGACTTCAAGAAGGCCTCATGCAATTGGCTTATGGAGGAAAATTGGTATGGGCAAAGAGGAGTTGAAGGAGCAATAGCTTAAAGGAGTGGATCATGGCCAAATGTAAACTCTTGGTTGGACGAGTAACGGAGGGTGGTAAACTAAAGCATTGTTTCCCTGCAGTTTATTCTTTGGCTCGCAAGAAAGAGGCAACAATTGCAGGATCATCCTCCAATTCAAATAGTAGGGGAAGAGGGACAGTCGATCTGGTAAGAAATCCTAATAATTGGGAGATAAAGTAATATGCTAATTTATTTTATTGTTTGTCTCAATGGAGAAAATCTCCGGATGACTCGAAGAATCAATGTGCAAATTGAGTCAAACAAGGAGATTCTCTACAAAACCTACTGCTAATATTTGGTGCCAGAAGTAAATTATTGAAGAGTTCTGTTAGGAACGTCAGACATGTGCAGTTGGTTTGAGAGGGAAAATCAGAAAGAGACATAACTTAGGGGAGAAGTTGAAGAAGAAGAAGAGAAATAAGGAGACAAGAGAATAAAAGGAAGGGAATAGCTGATAATAATATTCTTTCTTATATCATCTGCAGGTTACAACCTATCATATATATAGGCTGATGTTCTTTTAGCAGGTTCCTAATTTTTACAGGTGTCATCACCATGTCCGGTACTATTCTCTATAACAGAAAATATTTTCTAATGCTGAAAATCATAACAGCAAACAAAAAAGAAAGCAAACAAATAATTCAAATAACTCTTATTCTCCCCTCCATTTGGGCTAGTTCTTAGTATTCTCCCTCCTTCCAGAAAACCTGTCCTAAAGGTTAAAGTTTGGTATCACCATTGCATTTTTTCTTCTACATTATCCCATACCGTAGTTGTGTTTGGTTACCTTGGTGCATGGAAAGTAGGGGTCACTGCTCTAT